GGTGTAGAGCTGGATGAACGCAGCAGGCCAAGCAGCATCAGAGGACCCTTCTTCTGAAGGGTCTAGGCCCGAAACGTCAGCCTTCCTGCTCCTCTGATGCTGCTTGGCCTGCTGTGTTCATCCGGCTCTACACCTTGTTATCTCAAGCCTTAACCTTGGTGTCTGAATGCTCAGTCAGAGAAATACAACAAGAGTCTGAGTTTAAACAGAATCTTTATAGCAGTAACACACCACAAGGTGTTGCACAATCAGTGTTACCAAACAAAAACTGAGGATAAAAAGATATTAAAATAGGAGAGCAAGAGCATGGCCAAAAGGTGGATTTTATAGAGACTCTTGAAGGAGGAGATTTGGAAAGACAAGGATGTTTGGGGGAGAAATTTCAGAGATTAGGACAGAGACAGGTTATGGTATGAACACCAGTTGCCAATAAAAGAGGAATAGTTTGGAAAATTCCTCTCTGGACCTGCTCAGATGGCAGAAGCTAGTCCAGGAGATGATATCTGTGAAGTGACTTTATTATTCCACTGACTTATCGTGAATTTAATAAAATTTGATCTTCCAAGAGACTGCCTTCTGATAATACTGATGTGGGCACACTGTCTATAAACACTGTCCATGTGCTCCCAGACTGGGAGGCAGACAAAATCATCTCTCCACATATATTATATATCTGAAACACAGATTCATATGGATTCTGACTACAATTATTGTGATTTGCCGACCAGCCTTTCCTCCTTCGGCTGTCTGCTCTCTGACTCCAAAACATCTCACCTCTCACTGAAAATCAAAATGAAAAGGAACGTTGATCAGCCTGTTCCACCATGAAGCCGGGGTTAAAGAGAGATCTTATTTTACATTTAGTTTGGAATAGGGAAGGAAGTCTCAAGTCCAAAACTCAGGCAATGTCTGAAATTAGAGGCAAATTATTGCCCTTATTGGTGTGATGCACAAATACCCTTAAGGACTTAAACTGGTGTCTAGCATGAGACAGGATGTAATGTACAATCCTATGGCTCTGTTAGCACAATACAGCAGCAGTAGTACAGGGCAGGCATGTCTACATAGCCTCCAGGTTACTCTTACCTGTATGTAGTCTCACCTTCAAATCAAGAACCCACATTATTATGTTACTCATCCCTAGTCTATGGCTAACATGCTTGTAATGAACAGAAGAATGAATCTGTGAAGGGATTTCCAATGAAAAGATTTTTTTTTCTTTATCCATTCACGGGATAAAGGTATTGCTACCTAGGCAGCATTTATTGTCCAGATGGCAGTTGAGAATCAACCACATTGGTATCAGTCTGGAGTCACATGTAGGCCAGACCAGGTAAGAATGGTAGTTTCACATTAGTGAACCAGACAGTTTTTTCCAAAAATTGACAATGGAGTCATGGTCATTATTAGACTCTTAATTCCAGAATTTTTTAAAAATTGAGTTCAAATTCCACCATCTGTTGTGGCAGGATTCAAACCCAGGTTCCCAGAATATTATCTGGGTCTCTGGATTAACTGCCCAGTGATAATACCACTAGGCCATCACCTCCTCCTGTTTGCCACAAGGTTTCCCCCATCACTTTATAAGGGAGTGGATCAGGTGGAGAATGGGATGTTTGAAAGATATTGTGGGAAATGCAAGGACTGGTTTTTACAGCTCAGGACCAAGTGGATTCCATGAATCTTATGGTTTTCTCCTTGCCCGGAACAGCTCCTGTCTGGGAACATTGCTGGGCCATGGATCTCTGTGTACCAATCACATTTGGTCACATTTGTGAAAATCTGACCAGCGAATGAGTGTTCAGTCAATACAGCAGCCCAATTATAAAAGGGACACATGCCTCTCATCTCTATGCTCCATTGACATGAGCATTGTAGAGCCTTGGGATGGTGAGGGAAAAGAGAACATAGACAAACTGTAAAGCAACCTTTCCAATATTAGAAAAAACACAGAAAGTGCTAGAGAAACCCAGCAGGTCCAGCAGCATCTATGGAGAGAGAAACAGAGTTGACATTTCACATCCAATATGATTCTTCTTCAGAACTTGTACATTAAAACTTGTACATCTTGCTGACAGGTCATAGAGGTTTACAGCATAGAAGCAGGACCTTCGGCCCAACTTGTCCATGCCGTCCAGTTTTCACAATTAAACTAGCCCCATTTCCCTGTGTTTGATCCATAATTCCTTCATATATATCCGATCCATGCACCTGTCCAAATGTTTCTTAAATGACTAAATTGTACTCACCTCCACTAATATGTGTGGCAGCTCATTCCAGACACTCACCACCCTGTCTGTGAAAAAATTGCCCCTCTGGGCCCTTTTGTATCTTTCCCCTCTCACCTTAAACCTACAACCTCTAGTTTTAGAGTCCCCTACCCTGGGGAAAAGGTCTTGAGATTACGATGGAGAGTCTATGCTAACTGCAAGGCTCCAACAAAAAAGAAAACATTTACCAGAATCTTCAAAACCCAACCAGAAAACAAAGAACAATAAATCTATCTGAGTTACTCGTGTTATGTGTAACAATGAGCAAGTAGCCCAGGCCTGTAGGTTAGACACAGTTGCCAGTTCTGGGCTCAGAGGTAGAACTTGTGTCTCTGAGTCAGAAGGTATAGGTCTCATTCCAAAGATCAGTACATCATCCAGACTGACACACAACAGAGGCCCACACTATTTGCAGTGCTGGGGATGTCACCTTGTAGGGGTGAACACAGCCTCGCCAGTCTTTGAGGTTGTTTTTTTAAGTTGTTCATGGGATGTGGGAATCGCTGGCCAGGCCAGCATCCATTGCCCATCCCTAGTTACCCAGAAGGCAGTGAAGAGTCAACCGCATTACAATGGGTCTGGAGTCACATATAGGCCAGACCAGGTAAGGATGGCAGTTTCCTTCCCTAAAAGACATTAGTGAACCCGATTTTCTGACAATTGATGATGGCTTCATGATCATCATTAGACTCTTAATTCCAGATTTTGGTTGAAATCAAATCCCAGTGGCTAGATGTAAATAAGGATCCTTTGGCATAACTTTGAAGAGAAGCAGTGTAGTTCTGCTTCAATATTCCCTCAAACTCATCACTAAAATATCACTTTATCTGATTGTATAATGCTGTTTGTGTGAGCTTGCTACGCGCAAATTGGCTGCTGTGTTTTTTCGTTACAATAGGGACTGCACTTTACAAAAATTTCTGCAACCAGTTGTTGCAATATACTGTAAGAAGCCCGACATAAAGCCCAATACTTTCTTGCTTTTCTGCATCAGGAGGGACTGTGTAACCTGTTCATCACTCTGCTGCAAGCACCTCAGGGAGCAAGTTAATGGTCAGCCAGAGGACGTGACCCGCATAGAGCAGAAAGCTGCTATCAAGAAACCTCACCTTTTCTTTGAGGGCACTGCAGTCTGTTGGGCCTGGAGAGGATTGGGAGGTCGGACCGGCTGCTGTTGTTCCTTCTCTTGTTTCTCCATCAGGTGAGGACTGCGGAAAAGGTAGTTGTACTCCGGAAGAATTTGAGCCAGTGCATCATAGGACGGAAGGTTAACTCTGTCCTGCTGAAGCTGGAAAAGAACATTGAATACAGTGAGGCAAAGAAAGGCATTAACTTCACAACAAAAACGTTATACCTGGAATACTGTGAGCAGTGTTGGGCCCATTGTCTAAGGAAGACATAATGGCATTAGAGGAAGTCCAGAGAAGGTTCACACGGTTGATCCTGGATTTGGAGCACTGTTTTATGAGATAAGGTTGAGTAGGTTGGACTTAACTCATTGGAGTTTGGGAAATCTTGGTGAAACATATAAGGTTCTTAGGGGATTTGACAGGACAGATGCGGAAAGACTGTTTCCCTTTGAGGGAGAAGCTAGCACCAGAGAAAATAATGGCAGAGATGAGGAATTTCTTCTCTCAGGGTTGTGAACCTGTGGAAGCCTTTGCTGCAGAGGTGGGTGGAGGCTGTGTTATTAAGTATTTTCAAGGCTGAGATGGACAGATTTTTAATAAGTAAGAGAATTGAGGATTATGGGGAAAAAAGGCAGAAAAATGGAATTGAGGATGATCAGATTGAATGGCAGAGAAGACTTGATGGGTTGAATGGTCTACTTCTGCTCCTATATCATACAATCTTATTTATATGGAACATTTAACATAATAAAACATCCCTGGAGTGTTATAAAATGATCATAGAATCCTTACAGTGTGGAAACAGGCCATTAAGCCCAACAAGTCTACACTGCCCCTCTGAAGAGTATCCCACCCAGACCCATTCCCCTACCCCTGATTTCCCATGCCTAACCCACCTAACCTCAATATCCCTGGGCACTATGGGCAATTTAGCATTGCCAATCCACTCTAACCTGCACGTCTTTGGACTGTGGGAGGAAACCCACGCAGACACGGGGAGAATGTACAAACTCCACACAGACAGTTGCCTGAGGCTGGAATCAAACCTGAGTCCCTGGTGCTGTGAGATAGCAGTGCTAACCACTGAGCCACCGTGCCGCCCCAATGTATAACACCTGTAGTGATTGTAACATTGTCAGCCAGCTGGACCTCAGAATATGATTATCCTCATTGGGGCTGTGAATCTAGTCCAATCAGGGAGCCCTGGCTGATATAAGAGGATGAATGTCAGGGATACTCTAGTGCCCAACTCAGTGCTATTGCCAAAGACTGTGCATTTGTAAATAAAGGGTGATTGCTGATGGGATGCCAGCCACTGAAGAGGTTATTTTTCTAATGGAGCCACAAGAGGAGATATTAGGTCAAGTGACGAAAGACTTGGCATTAAGGAGCGTCTTGAAAGGTGTAAGTGAGTTAGAGAGAGACAGAGACTTGTAGGGAGAATATTCCAGAGTTTAGGGTCCAGGCAACTGAAGGCACATTTACCAATGGTGAAATGATTGCAATGCACAGTGCTCAAGAGACAAAAGTAACAGGAACACAGATATCTTGGAAGATTGTGGGATTGGAACAGATTGCTAAGGTAGGGCGAGCGAGGGATTTGGAAACAAGGATGAGACTTTTAAAATCAAGCTTGAATGGGAGCCAATGTGGACCAACAGCACAAGGGCAATGGGGTGGGTGCGAGTTAAAACATCAGAAACAAAATTTTGGACAACAAGGGTTGGTTAAAATAGCATTGGTTAAATACACTTCATCTTTATCGGTTAGACACTTCAGTGAGTGGGCCTTCTGTGAGATCAAGGACTCTGGGATTGGAGATCCCACCCCTTCCCTGACAGTTGCCATGGCCACCACCGGATGAGAGCCAGGACTGCTAGGAGGAGACGTTGAAAGGGACCTTCAAGAACCTCAATTGGTTTCAAGGCCAGAAGGTTGAATCTTCCTGCCTGGATGTCTTCCAGGCAGTGGCAGGAATTGTGTCAGGTTCCCCATCTGGGATCCTTGAGGCCAATTCCCTCCCCACTTTTAAACTCATTTCAGAGGGGAAGCCTTACAAAATCATAGAATCCCTACAGTGTGGAAAGAAGCCATTCAGCCCATTGAGTCTGCACCAATCCTCTGATGAGCACCATACATACAGTCGCCCAAGACTCAAATATAACCTGGCTCCCTGGTGCTGTGACGCTGAGCCACCATGCCATTATGTCCCACCCTATGAATCTGCTTCTACATTTTCTAGCTCGACATTCCGAACGTATACAACTTGTTGTGTAATGAAATTCCTCCTCACCACATTCTGGTCCTTTAGTCAATTCTTTATAACTCATGTTTGTTTGATGTTAATGTGTGAACTTGAAAAGCGGATATTTTCTTTCAAGCTGACAATCACTAATTTCCAGGCTCCTATTACTTTGGAGACCGATGTTGCCTTCACTTTGTGAATTTGTTCATAAGCAAAGATAAAAGGCAGCATTATGAGCTTAATATTCCCCTGCAAACTAGGCACAGTTTCTATGCAGTAAAACAACAAAGTCACATTATGTTAATCTTGTAACAAGAAACTGTGATAAGACAAATGTCACAGGAAGGACATTGTACAATAAATTGAACAGAATCTCCTGTGTTTTTGAATAATGCTTTTTTATATTTAATCTGCAACTTTTTTTATGGGTACCAATTATCTAGTTAAGCCACAAAATCTTACAGCACCAACAGAGGCCATTTGGCCTATTGAGTCCTTACTAACACTTTAAGCCCCACTCCCCTGCTCTTTCTCCATAACCAAGCAGTACATTTCCTCTCATGTGCATATCCAAGTTTCTTTTGAAAGTTATTATACAACAGGCTTCCACGGAATATAAAGAAATATGAGAAGATGGTGCACAATTAATATTAATTGTTAATATTTCTCTCTCAATCAACATCATTAAAACCAATGGTCCAGTCATCCCCTCACTGCTGTTTGTGAGAACTTGCACAAATGGATAGAGAAGGTACCACAACACTGACTAAACATCAAAGAGTCAAAAGGCACGGAAACAGACCCTTTAGTCCAACTGGTCCATGCCAACCAGATTTCCTAAATTAATCTAGTCCCACTTGCCAACATTTGGCCCATATCCCTCCAAACCCTTCCTATTCACATACCCACCTAAATGCTTAGAAAATGTTACAATTGTACCAGCCTCTACCACTTCCTTTGGCGGCTCATTCCAGATATGCACCACCTTCTGCGTGAAAAAGTTGCCCCTTAGGTCCCTTTTATACCTTTCCCCTCTCATCTTAAACCTATGTACTATAGCAGGAAGACCAGAATTGGATGCAGTATTCCAAAAGTGGCCTAACCAATGTCCCGTACAGCTATAACATGACATCCCAACTCCTGTACTCAATACACTGACCAACAAAGGCAAGTGTACCAAAACTGCAAACGTACTGCCCTGTCTACCTGTGACTCCACCTTCAACAAACTATGGACCTGCACCCCAAGGTCTCTTTGTTTGGCAAAGAGAGCCTTACTGTTAAGTGTACAAGTCCTGCTCTGATTTGCCTTTCCAAAATGCAGCACCTAAGGCTGCAAAACACTTTGGGATGTTCTGAGGTCCTAAAAAATATGAGTGAATCAATGAGTCATGCACAATTTTTTTCTTAAAGAAGTAATTTGGCAGATATTCTGTTCTCAATAGGAAGAGATCAGAGAAACTACCAAAGCTGAATATCATAAGTTGCAATGAGGGAAATGTCATTATGTGTAATAAAATGTTAAATATATTAAAGAAAACATACTCAAGGACTCCATGAGTATGTAATAACCAGAAGATTCTTCCCCACTGATGCTGCTCTACTAGTGTTTAATATTAGAGCAGAGATGATGTTGTCCCCTGCTCTGATTTTAGCAAAAATAACAGCCCACGGTCAGATGTTGGCCAACCCCACAATGATCAAGAACAAAAACAAAGTTGCTGGAAAAGCTCAGCAGGTCTGGCAGCATCTGTGAAGTAAAAAACAGAGTTAACGTTTCAGGTTCGGTGACCCTTCCTCAGAACTACAATGATCAAAGTGGCAAAGGGACATACAAGACTGGCCAGGCTTTGGTTCACTCATTGTGTGCTCTCGTTGTGAGTGAGGGCAAGGACATGGGCAAATGAGGTGGGAGTCAAATCCAGGTCACATAGCCCAACCCTCAACCCTGCCTCATTCGTCTTTGTGAAGCCGTTGCATCAATTCAGTTCAGATCTCACCAAATAATTGGTGAAGGCCACTTATACCTGTACTTGCTTTCTGGAAAAGCCCAAAAACCATCCAGTACTTCTTAAAAGTTTTTTTTTTTATATTGTATATAGTTTTTTGTAGATGCATTGATTTTCCTTATCAAACCTAACAGTTGTCTCTTCATGATCGAGCTTCCAGCTCTACCTGTTGCTATCTCCCATCCCCCTTTTTCATTTTTTTCTCATTTCTATAAATGTATTCAGTTACTTTCCTGATCTGACAATGGACCTATATTCTAGAGTAAATCTTTTGATCCCAAACAGAAACCCAGAATGTAAAATCACGTTGCTTTAATAATCGTTCATTTAATTATGTACAATTATTTAGAAGTAAATATTTTACATAAAATTACATATAAGCTAAGATTTTTATAAAGTTTCGGCTTTATAAAGGGGGAGCAGCACAATGGCTCAGTGGTTAACACTGCTGCCTCACAGCACCAGGGGCCGGGGTTCGATTCCACCCTCAGGCGACTGTGTGGAGTTTGCACATTCTCCCCGTGTCTGCATGGGTTTCCTCCAGGTGCTCTGGTTTCCACCCACAGTCCAAAGATGTGCAGACTAGGTGATTGGCCATGCTAAATTTCCCATAGTGTTCAGGGATGTGTAGATTAAGTGGGTTATACGGGGCTGGGTCTGGGTGGAATTCTCTGAGGGTCGGTGTGGACTTGTTGGGCCAAAGGGCCTGTTTCCACGCTGTAAGGATTCTATGATGATGATTTTAAGAGATCAGAAGATGATTCCTATTCATATGGTTAGAGACCGTTCTAGAATATTCTCTTGTAGAAGTTTGGAGCATGAGCTACGATGGTCTATAATTTGCCATAATCCCAGAGGATCATAGGGCTGCTCCCTCATTAGGGAGAGAGAGAGAGAGACAACCG